GAATCTGACCTGTTATCCTAATTTCCTTTCTGTGAGAGAAAGATTTCTCACATTTTGGCTGCCCAAGATAGTGAAGTGCAACTTCATATAGATTGAGGAGTTTTATCCAATAGACTTTTTATGTAAAAAATATCTATCTTTACTATTATCTTTTACAGTCTCTTCTTTTAAGAGTTGGCCAGAATTTAAGTGTAGATAAATATTCTAAATAACAATATAGCAAACTTTTTAAATATTACAAAGGAAGTTGTAGAAGTTTCATCTTGGTATAGGTACCACTACTAACTACAATATATCTTTTTTAATATCACCATCTAATACAAAAATTGAGGGCACTTTTACAATATTATTACAACTATAAATATTTGCTAATAATACAGCAATAATATTTTACATTTCTACCTATATCTGGATAAATATATAGAATATTTGGGAAATGTTTGTACAAGGGTGTTAATTTTTCAGTTCACTGAATATAAAACTTGATATCAGATAAAATGTTTGATCAACTACTGTAAATTATGACAAAAACAGAAAAAAATATAAGAAATGCTAGACCTTACAGAGGAAGGTCTAATGATGTTTTATAAATTTACTGTCTGATTATTTATACAATTACAGTAGGAGTGACTGGTTGTTGCAATAAAAAAATTTTAAGTCTGTATTTTCAGAGTAGTTGCTTTATAAGCGTTTCACAAACACTTCTGATGAGGGACTGTAGACTACCTAGACCCTCAGCGAGGTGGTACCCTCAATGAGGCTTGGCTAAGCTGTGCGGAGAGTAAAAAATTAAACGGCATTATTATACTTGTAGTAAAAGTACCTCAGTCACAGTATTGATTAACTCCAAGGATACCTTCGCGAGATATCGAAATCTCAACCCACCTTCAAGAGCAAATGGCCATTGAAATGGCCTCCACGGGTGTTGCCCTAAGTCTCTCTGAAGCAGCAGAAACGGTGGCAGCAGCACCATCAACACTGATGTATCAATGGCAAGGCAGGAGGAGTAAGGAGGAGGAGGCTTCCCGAAGGCAGAAGATGACTACAGAGGAGGAGTAAGAGGTTGTTGAGCACTGTTACTTCTACTGTCACCTCAGGTTTCTACCAATGATTTAGCAGTTTCAAGAAATTGCCACCACGATAGTACAGAAAAGAAACTCAAACGAGATTTTAGGACAATGCTGGGATAAAGCTTTTAAGAAGTGACATCCAGAAGTAAAATCTCGATTCAACAAGCAATTGGACTTTATTAGAAATATTCAGGGAAATGATATACAACTTATTACTCAGTTCTATAATGAGGTATTGGTCTGTACATTAAGTTTTTTTTTTTTTTTTTTTTTGATATATATTGGATCTTGTTTAATATTATACAGGAATAATTTCTTAATAAATTTCATATAGTTAGAAAATATCATTTCTGAATATGAGATACAGCCTCAGAATACATATAATATCAATAAAATTGGCTTTTTGTTGGGATTAGGACAGTCAGAATGGGTTTTAGAAGTTGTGTGTAACCCCCATGAGAATGGGATATTAAAGTTCCGTGCTCAAAGTATATATCCTATTGAAGATAATTGTTTTAACAAAATATGTATTATAATAGTTACTGATAACAAAAAGATGGAATATGTGAATTTGTTACCGTAATCAAGGTGGTTTGTGCTGATAGCACTAGCTTGAAGCCTACGATTATCCTCGAAGCAGAAGAATTTATTGCTGAATAGCTTCACAAGCTTTGAGGAATTCCAGAGGATATACTGTTTGGACGTTCACATAATGGGTAGATCAATGAGAAAATGCTACAAATCTACCTTGAGAGAAACTTTGGACCAGAGAGCATTAGTGCATCCAAAGCTAAACAAGATTATCACTTGCTCCTTTTTGATGGCCATAGCAGCCATGTCAATGCTACTTTTTTCGAGTTTTGTGTAACACATAAAATAATTCCCTACTGCTTACCTCCACGTACGACCCATCAATTACAGCCACTTGATGTTTCTGTATTTGGGCCTTATAAACATCAATATCAGAAGGAGCTTACAAGAAGGTTTGAGAGATGTGAGTATGGGATTTCGAAAGGGAATTTCTATGAAATTCTAATGATAGCATACCGGACATCATTTACAACTGAAAATATTCAAAGTGACTTTCAAAACACTGAACTTAGTCCCCTTAATCACAGCATTGTTCTTACTAAGATACAAGCCCTCCGAACCAATTCCACCAATTCAAAACCTTTTTCTCAAAACCGCTCCACATCATCTCCACAATCCTTGAGCACAATGAGTTCCATCGAAATCAATAGCCTTCCAGTCCCTATTGACAAGGCCAATATCAAGAGACAAGAGATGATAGCCTTTGCAATATTACTACAAAATGATCCTGTCTCATAGGAACTAAAATAAATTGTTAGTAATATGGCCATATGTACTAATCAAGCACTTACCGACATTGAGGACAAGGATCATCAGATTTAAAATCTGAAAAGACAGTTAGCTGATACCCAAAGCAAAAAACAAGTCAAATGAACTCAAATACCAACCTGTGGAAAAGCATGGATTGACCAAGAAGAAATTGTGAATTTCTTTGAATCAAAATCGAAAGAGGAAAGCAAGATGGTGAAGTAGAAATATTATAATGCATCGAACCTGGTTGAAGTTTGCAAGAAAAAGTTAGCTGAATGCACAAGGAAACAAAAAGATGCAGAAAGATTAGAATGAGAGGGAAGATTACCTAAGTACCGAAAGACTGGAGCAGTATTGCTGCAGGAAGAAAGCCGTCTTGTAGGACAGATTTCCGAAGTAGAACAAAGGGTAAGGAAGTTTGAAAAACATGTTGAGGACTTGGCAAGAACTTCGGATTTGAGAAGTGGTGGGGAGTTGTTGGTTGAAGTACCAGCAGAAAATGATTTTGATCAGGAAGAGTCTTTGGAAAGTTCCTCCGATGGCAAAGAGACTTATAGAGAAGAGACTTGTGCATCTCCAGTCCCCTTCAGCAGGGCACTTGACATGTCACTTTCTTCATAACACAACCCTCTGGAGTGGATCAAGTCTCCAGATGTGATTGTGTTATTAGATGTTGTTGTGTTGTTAGGTGTTATTGTGTTGTTGCTTGTAAAAAAAAAATGAGAAAAGGTTTATCTGCGTCCATTGATGCCAAGCCCTGCCAAGCCTCGTTGAGGGTCCGGGTGGTCTACCAACTACTAGACTAATGGAATGCTGAGAACCTTTAACCTTACAAAAGATAGTGGGGATGGCGCTAGGCGGCGAAGCCATCAAATCAGTCCCGCGGGATGAGCTCAGAGTCGAGCCCTTCGACAGACTAGTCTACCATCCTGCGCAAATCTGCATCGTCGCCGCTTCATCGACGCCGACAACTTTTTCAACGGGAACCTTCTATGAGCCATTGAGTATGCTGAACTTCTAGACCAATTTTCCGCAGCCTTCTGCATCTGGAAAGGTAATCCATTGCCCGAGGGACAACCGCCGCCTTTGGGCTCATCCAGGGTTGTGGGGCGGACGGGGCCTGGTCTGGGAGCATCGATATTGTTTGCTGTGCAGCACTAGATTACGGGAGATTGCTAATCTGGTTCGATAAGGTTTGTATCGTATAGCGCAAGCAATTGACGGGGACGGGAATTGACGTCTAGATCATAGGCAGTCCATACAGGAGGGCCGATCCTTGCGTCATTTTACCCGGTGGGCTGTCAAGGCAGCTGCCTCCCGGGGAGGGCCACTGCATGGGTCAGAAGGGCTTGGACACTTCGGGAAGGGTTGCTCCCGCGGTCGTCCAAGGTTTTATTCAAATGGAAGCACGGAGACACGGCTGTCTGGAGGGTGATTCCGGAGATATTTGTGAGCTAGAGTCCGGGGAGGCCGCGGTTAGCGAGGTGACAACACTGTTGAAAGGCACAATGAGGTCCAGAATGAACGCCGTTATGTATCCTAATGGGCTTGATTGGGGCCGCGCAGGGTCTGTCATCCCGGCACACCTTTTCAGCAGCGAATTGTTCGGAATGGGCCAAGGCTTCTCTCTGCTGCACTTTGTGGGACAACCCCGACGACCGTTAGGGTTTGAGGGAATCTGCCATCTAGAAGGGTGCGGTTGTGCGGACTTCATCCAGAGCAGTGGATATGGTATTCAGTATCATGGCGCTATTCGGCGTCCAACTTGACACCACGAAATTTCACGAAGACAACCGACGCGGTGCTACCATCCGCTGCTTCGGGAATTGATGCGGTTAGGGAGGAGAGCCCCCTAGATGGTCTTGCTAGGCTTACGACCGGATCGTGTCATATCGGTTATGGCTGCGGTGTCGAAGACGTTTGTGGATGTAGTCTAGATGGAGAAGGACGGAAAACTAATGCCTCTAAGCACTGCCATCAGCGAGTATTGGTGGTTCGGGGATACCCCAACGCGGGATGTGGATGAGATGGGGTATTTTAAGTTCTCTGCGCCAGCAAGAATGGTGAGAAAAAAAGTGGTCGAGCCGGTGCACCAGGAGGCATGAAAATGGCATGGACGGAAAAAGGTTTAATCCATAAGACGGTAGTCATCAATGGGAACCGTGTGAGGAGACGGAGGTAGAAGGACCTGACGCAGTCTGGGCTCTTGAAGTTGGCGTTGAGGCGTTTTTCAGGATGGAAGCCTTTGGCACTATGGCGTTGCGCACCCCTATCGTTTTGATGATAGTGAGAGAGCATGAAGAAAATATCATAGGTATTTTAGGATCCAGGTGGCGTTGTCTAAGGGGCTGGAGCATACACATCTCCAATGTTGGTGGCCCTGATGGTTTCGGGAAATAATCGCATGAGGTAGGGAGATGTGGATCTTGTGTATGTCTAGAGGCATATGGGCGGCTGGTGTCCTGGTCCCGGTGCCATCGTGTGGGGTATCATTTCTAGGTTTTTGCTGGGCTCTATTTAAGTACGATTGCGAGTTCCCATCACTAGAATAAGATGCACAATAAGACTAGTTACGAAAAGCGATTCTCCTGACCAATTAGGTCGAATTTTTCTGAGATTTCCGATGCCCAAGATCCTCCTCATGTCAGCTCTGCGAGTGATTAGTTATGATGGTATATCTTAGACTGAAGTTATTTCAAACATCCTGGGGCAGAATATGTGGTAGAGGCCCGAGCGGTGTTATTCCAGTCGGGTTTATTTGGGCATGGGATTTTGTATAATGCTATCGACATTGGTTGATTTCTGTTATACAGTGGTCTGACTAAAAATTTGGATTTGTTCTTGGTCACTTACTTTCTTGATATGCTCAAAATTTGTGGTTTGCTTGAAAGCCGGGATATCCCAGTAGAGATGCCTTAACCATTTATGTATAGCAGGGTAACTTTTTTACCGTTAATTTTCTCACATTTTGCTTTTGCAGAAGGAGAAGAAGAATGGAGAGGCATACTCATGACGAATCATCCCGATGTTACACTTGAAGTGCTGGACATACACCGGATCGAAGCGGACGATGGTGGGATATAAGCACACATCCGCCTCCGTGATCTTCCCGCCGAGAAGATAGGGCCCAGCGGAAGACTTCAAAAGCCCTTCTACACGATCCAAGGACGCGAAGAGTGCTGTTACAGCGTCTTCATAAGCGCCTTGCTTGGTAGCGATCCCAGATTTGTAGACTCCGTTGTTTATGGTGTCGTAAACCCACGAGTTGAGCTCGTCAACGGCCCCCCTCTTATCCTCCGGATAGAACAGGTTTCCACGGAATTTCTCGTCGACAAGGTCGTCAAATTCGGTGTAGAGGAGCCTGATAATCTCGCTGCTCTCATTGTTGACGATAGTACTGGTCTTTTTATCCCAGAGGATTGGGACGGTGTAGCGGCCCCCGTATTGGGGGTCCGCCTTGAAATAGATATCTTGGAGGTAGGTCGCACCGTTAACGGGCTCCGGAGCGGCCGTCATCTCCGGGGACTCGGCGACTTCCTCTTCCGTCGCAAAACGCCATCCCTTAGACCCCATGTGCCAGTGCACGACGCTCAGTGATATGATGTCTTGCAGGCCTTTAAGTTCACGGATTATTTGGGTGCGGTGAGCTGGGTTAGGTTGGCTCCTTTAGCCCCAACCTTGTGATGATGGAATGGATAAGGTATGATATTTTGGGAAGCTTACCCCACGGACAGGCATATGAGACGTAGAGGTGGTACCGGCCCTTCTCCGGAGGGAATTGAGCTCCAGGAACTTTTGAGATGGCGTCGCGAAATACAGACTATAGGGGTTAGATCCATAGACCGAGTTGTGTTTGGAACACAAAGGGAGACAAACTGGTTTGCGTTGAAATTCACCAGTCTTGGAGTCCACTGCGACCCACTCGGTAATCTTGTGCTTCTGAATGGGAGCCTGTCGAAATTGTCAGTCCGTACCGCATTTCGACCCTTGTAACTAATTACACAGAGGTATTTGTGCATACAGCCATTGTTCGTGATTGTACTCTAGGTAATACTGAGGATGATGGTATATGCTCCTTGTAAGCCCGGCGGAAAAGCTGAGGGTAGAAGAAGTTTCGAAGGGGTGGACGGGAGATCATAATATCATAAGGACTGTTTTTTATTATTTCTATTATAGTATCTCATCCCCCCCAAGATGGCTAGGCTAAAGAGGATAGTTGATTACCGACACTTCTTTCTACGATTATAAACCAGACTTTAAGAAGTTTACCACCACCACACACAGCTGGAGATATGCCCGAAGCCGTGTTTAGAGGTCGGTGTTTACACAAGTCCCGGAGCACAAAGAAAAATTATCACGCAGTCTGTCGGGTGCACCTCACCTTTCGGCTTCAAGCAGCCTGATTCGCAAGGGGCCAAATGTGCTATCATACTCAAGTGCAGAAATTTTAGTGGTGGGACAATTGTAATAATTATCGTAGACAAAACCATTAATCTAAAAAAGGGAACCAAGCGATAACCACCCGAGGAATGATGCTGTGTTGTGCAACACAGGTTCTTAAGCTTCAGCTTGCGCAAACCTAACCCACTGGACAACCCCAGCAACCACCGATCAAACCTTCCCCACCACTTAATACGAGACCGCCCCACCACCCCACCATCACCACCACCACCACCATTGCAATGCTACATGAGCTATTTCTACTACTCTCTGGGCATCCATCGCCAATACTCACCCCCTCTGGCCTCCTGCCCTCTTTCCCACTGGTGTCTCCATCCGAAAGGTCTCTTGGCCCCTCCCAATTTCCCGGACAAGAGCTGACGGGGGTTAGTTAGGGCCCTGCTGTCCTCGTTATCCTCCCTTGGACATCTCCACATTTCCCTCCGAAATGCTTGTTCCACCATCACTACCACCCATCCCTCGACCATCGCACGCGCGGTTGCGAGCGGCATTTCTACATCCCACCTGCATGCTTTCCGTGCACGAATTCTCTCAGTCGAGCAGCAGGTTCTCTCACGATCTGCGGGTATGGTCGGTGGCTACGACATCGTGTCGCTGGCAAAAATAATGTCCGAGTTCGAGGGATGGGAGAGAATATTGTCTTACTTGCATTCGCTTGCATCCGCCATGGGGGAAATGAGCGGGGGGCAACTGATCAACCGACTGCGAACAGACATTCACACCGGCTTCCCCACATTAGAGGCTGTATCGCAGCATCTGCTCAAGGTTGCTGAGACAGCTTGGTTGCGGGAGGTTTCAACGTGGGTTTTGTATGGAAGGCTCCCAAGTTCTGAGGATTTCTTCATTACAGAGTCAGAGTCAGTAGTGTTGAATCCCGTAAACGAGGACGAAACTGGTGTGCTGAAGGAATATACTATCGCCAAATCACGCCTACCTTCCTTTGTGACCCCAGACACAGCCTCTTCTATATTATTTATTGGACGCGCACTCTCGGTGATTCGATTACGAGGAGGAGCAAATACTGGAATTGCATCCGACACAATTAGTCCGGAAATGACGCTTCTTCCGGTTCATCTATCGCATCTGCAGTCGCTTCAGTCCCCGCTATCGCCTCAGAAACTTCTTACTGCGGTTTCGGAAATACGGCTTTCCTTGTCAAAACATACCCTACAAAAACTTCTACCGGCTTCGAAAATTATTGATGTAGTTCATGTCCTGCGAGAATTCTTTCTACTTGGCCGTGGGGAGTTTGCCGGCGCCATAGTTGAGCAAGCATCTGAGCAAGTGCGCAATCGATGGCGGCGGCCTGGTGCCAGTGGGGGTATGGGTGCATCGGGCGTCAAATCCAGCTCGAGTAGCGCTGTTGTCAAAGAGGGCGAAGTATCATCGATATTGACAAGAACCTGGGGGGTACTTTCATCACTTCAAGGAGAGGAAACCACAGATGAGAGATTAGATACCGCCAGGGATCTTTTATACTTGTCCCTGGTCAAGCCACCGCCCGCGGCTTCCGTAGCTTCAACGCCTGTCCATCCAAAAGCTAAACTTGGGGAGTCATTCAAAGACCTCTTGGTTGGTGTTCCAGTTACACTGAATTTTCACCTTAGCTGGCCCTTGGAACTCTTTCTGCAACCAGCAGATTTAGAGACTTATGACGCCATCTTCGCATATCTCATCTCTGTTCGCCACACTTTGATTAGGTTGCAAACCTTGTGGCGTGGTAGACGATATCCACCCGCTCCCCTTGCCTTTTCTAAGAGTGAAAATAGGGCAGTGGCAAAAGCGCGCAGAGAGGTGATCAAGAAACGTGAGGGTATCGAGAGGGCTGTTTGGGCAACAGCTGGCCTAAGTGTGTTCTTCCTGGAAACACTGGTAGGCTACTGGCAAGGAGAGGTGGTAGGAGGTGCCTTTGGCGAGTTAATGGAAATTCTGGGTCAAGGCCTAGAGGAGGCCCCGGAGGAAGAACAGCAGCGGCAGCAAGAAGATGAAGATGGGGATCTCTGGATGGCGGACGGAGAAGACCAGGACGTCAGGAACGTTGAAGAGAAGACCAAAGAGCAGCAAGACCCCGAATCGTTGATGCGGGAACACCACCTCTATCTCTCCCGGCTGAAAAGAGGATTGTTTTTGGCCGATCATCAGTTTGCACCCCTACTTAAGAAATTCCTAACTTCTTCCGAGGCTCTCGCTTCCCGTATCGAGCGCATGGGCCGCAGGAACCGTCTCACTGATTTGAACATTACCCCCGATACTAGCACGAATGATAGGGAAGTTGCGGAGTGTATGGCGAGCTGTAGGTTGGTGAGAAATTTGCTTGGCATGTTGATTGAGAGGTTACAGAGAATAGATGAAGAGAGAGATATTGGAGGTGGTGAACTGCTGTCTTCCGGGAGAAAAGGTGGAGGGGGAGTTGGAAAGATCGATAGGCTACTTATGAGGCTGGACCTGGCTAATCTGCGATTGGGGGATTAATACCACAATATTATAGCTGAGCCCCTTATATTAGTGACAAAAGGTTTACGACTCAATAGTCCCCTGGTATTGCAGTACGTAGCAAGAGCACGGTAATGCGTAAGAATTGATGTAAGTGATCAATTGAATCACCATCAGACCATTACCTGCCATAGCACTTCCACCACCTTCCAGCTCACCCCTGCATCCTTTCCGTCCTGCGCACGGCCATCACCACCGCCGGCTGGTGTTTGCCTCTCGGCCCCTACAACCCCCCTCGCCCTTTGCCCAACACCCAGGTTTGCCCCATCATGTCCATATGTTCACCCTTGTTCATAACTGGCCGAACCCCCCTCCAAGAGCACCCACTCAACAGCATCTCTCTCACAATCAATCTTGTTCCAAATCTGAACATTAATTAACAATCCTTCCTTTCTTCCTTACCATGCCAGCTAAAGCCCCAATAGACGAGAACGTCAAGTTCCTATTTGCATGTCTTATTAGGAGCGATTACAAAACTGTTTGTCTCCCCTCCCCCTCCTCCTCCTCACCCCTCAAAGAACATGTCGAGGGTGTACTAACACGGGGTGAATAGATTGACTTCACCCGCGTAGCAGCAGACTTCAGCATCAACCCCGCGGCGGCCAGAATGCGCTGGAGCAGGCTTAAGAAGACCATCAATGTGGACGACATCGCTGCCTCGATACTGGATGGGAAGAAGCGGAGGATGAGTAAAGCTCGGCCATCTCTACTTTCTTCTTCTGTCAAGATGGAAAAAGCCGAGGATGGAGCTCCGCAACCTCCCCCCGCTGCTACCGCTTCAACAGTGGGCATCGTGCTTAAGGAAGAGGAAGTAGCCACGCCGGAGGAGGAGGCGTTAGCCCCGGTGTTATTCGCCGGTTTACCAAAGCCATCGAAATGCAAGAAGGCTGGGGCCGAGAAACAGGTTGCCATACCGGTTGTTGTTGGTGAAGCAGCGGGGACGGCAGGTAGATTCGCTGCAACGCAGGTTCCACATTTACCTAGAGTTGCTGAGGTAGCAGCGGCAGTGGTGGGGGCTCCCGAGGCAAAATCACGACCTCCCATACCCCGAAAACCCTTTCCACCGGCACCGGTGGTCCAAGTGCCTCCTATGCTCAAGTCTAAGCCAGAGACTCAGTTAAAGGGGGAGGGGGATGGAAATGCCATGAAACCCGAGTCTTCCCCCACCGACCCGGTACGCGAAAATGCCGCCAGCACGGCAATAGCAATCCTCACCGCCAAAGGGTCGAAAAAGAGGAAAGTGGAGAGCACGTGATGTCTATTCTAAATAAAAAATACCCAGCATCGTGCGGGAGAGAAGGGGTCTGTACTCAAATTGTTTGGAAGTAAGGGGAAGGTGCCGACTAGGATTAAATGTACTCTTCTCTTTGTTCTTTCTTTTTCTTTTTCTTGTATTTGGAATTTCCAAACACCTACGCATCTCCTTCACGCCAAATCAAGTCAAAATGGCTCGCCCCCGATACTGGAAAAGTGATCAATCAACAATATAGCGAACATTTAGATAACGCCACTAGATTCTCGTTTGCTGCCAAGTTGTCCCGTGAGCTCAAGGCGCTATGTCTAAGTCTGCCCTCATAATCCAAAACTAAAGTAAGCTCGTGGTACCCGGGACGATGCTTGTAGCGTGCTAAGGCTTTTTGGCCATCATGCGAGTGTTATGCCACCGTCTTCCTCCAGACCACCACCATGTTCGAGTGATAGTTTATGCGCATTCCTTGGCTAGCGACGTCCACTCAGCTAGATAGTTTGTGGTTGCAAGATTGGGAGTCGCCTGTTCTGGTATGTAGTACGCTGCTGTTTCGTGGAGATGGACTATAGCATATTATCCCGCAGGGTCTATGACTCATTTTATGTCGCTGTACGTTCATTACAGTGCTGGCTTTCCTAGCCAAGCACCTCTATATCCCACTGACTACATACGATACCCAACCCCCATAACTCCCAAACAGAGCTAGAATGGAAAAAAATGAATACTTTTTTTGTAACCATCAGATAAAGCCTGCAGTATGATTCCATGTTACAACAAGGTACACCCACTAAAGCATAAAATCAAGCAAGCTAGTTTCAACCTCTAAGGGGAAAACAAATCCCACGACAAACAGTATCTACCTAACAACAGCGCCAACTAGAGATTTAACCTTGCAGACACCACCACTCTCCGTAACCAACCTGCCTATCGGGCCTTCTCCCGGGGCTTTACCCTGCGCTTCGTCGCCGGTCCATCCTACTTTCTCCCTGTCAAAGACTACATCCAAATCAGATGTAGTAGCAAAGCCGGGCTGTATCTGCTCCCAAATCTTCTTCTTGGGGTTCAATACTGCTTCTGGCTCGGCCTTATATCCTTCAAAGAATACCCTCTCACCGGCAATAGCACCCTTAGGCGGTGCTACAAGCTCCACGGCCTCTTTCTTGTGTGCAGTTGGGTCCCCATCCGGAACGGGTGCGGGTGAGGCTGCGAGCACCATGGCTGCGGACTTAATTCCACGCATCGTCACGGGCTTGAGGTTTGCGACAACAACGACCCTACGGTCTTGCATCTCCTCGATCGGGACAAGACCGTTCAAACCAGAACAGACTGTGCGGACAGTTGGAAGGGGGGTAAATTTTGCGATAACTATGTTCGGGAGGGAAAGCTCAGAATGGGGGGTCACAAGAGGAGAGCCCTCGGGATCGCCCATTGAGATTGTAGAAACGAACAGCGAGTCGGCGTTTGGATGAGGCACGCAATAAAGGATGTGCCCAACGCGGAGGTCAATTTGAGAAGGAGAAATAACCGGCTCTGGTAAATGTAAGTTTGGCCCGATTTCGATATTTGAATCAACAAAGAGCCACAATTACCTTCTTTCTTATGAGCCTCCCTCTTCGGTTTCTCTCTCTTTTCCCTCTTGCATTGCTTGCCTTCGCTAGCCACCACAGCAGTAGCCTTTCCTGCTGCGTCCTTGACACCCTCCTTAACCTTTTCAGCCTCCTCCTTAACCTCCCCCACAGCCACCCTACCCTTCCCCTTTTTCTTTGAGCCCTCACCATCCGCAGCTCCCTCTTTCTTCTTTTCCTTGACAAGCTCCTCGGGCTTCAGGTAAACCAGCACCTTGCTAGGATCCACAGCAACCTTCTCCTCCGGGGGAATTTGCAGCCCCAAATCCGGAGTGTTCTGAACAAAGTCAACCCAACGAATAATATACCTATAGCCCTTTTCACCCGTCTTCTGCTCGTCACTCCATGAAGCTACCTGACCCTTGATCCGGGCGTAAACGGCCACATCAGCAATTGACAGCTTCTCGCCGAGAATGGTGGTACGAAATTTCAGGTTCCCGTTCAACTGAGCGATGGTCTCCTCAAGAACAGGGGTAGCAGACGTTAGAGTCAGCCATTGATTGATTTCTGCAGACTCGATGTCGGTGTAAGTTGTGTTTGCAAACAACGGGATTAGGGTAGAGAGATGTGAAACAATGGTGTTAGTTCCGGCAACGGCCTCATTGTTTGGTAGGGTCAGGTGAGAAACGGCGGGCGTTTCCTCGGTGGAAATAGTAATTGGAAGTGACTTGTACGACGAGAGGATAAGGGGGAGGGTAACGTCTGATGGAGAGACGGAGAGAACAAGTGATGCCATGGTCCTTTGTATTCCAACAGAATGGCGGCACAAGGGTTGGTGGGAGGAAACTCGACGGGAAAGCGTACGAGCAAAGTATCGAACTGCTAGGGGAGACAGGGTGGTTGTTTGTTGGAAAAGAATATGGATGGGTCAAAAGTTTGTGAGATGACTATCCATTGCGGGGTGATTGAGAGTTTACAGGGACCAACCTTGCCAAGACGAGTGCCCCTCCAAACCTTCCCGAAATCAGAAGGGCTCAGGGTTCAGGGGTGTACAGTAGAAGAGCTTTAAGCTTGCCAACTTACTCTTCACCATAATAACAGCATAATAATAATATTATTATTATCATACATTATCGTAGGAATTCATAATTAATTATGCAGGACATTGGGCCACTCTGTGTATTTGTTTTCAAAACAGATACTAATGATAGCCCACAAATCCCACATCCCTCATAAAAACCCGCCGGAACCCAATCAATCAATGAAGACCGCAGTTTTCATAGCACGCCTCCCTTCCGTATTCAATCGTAGCATTATCTCCCAAGCGCCCCTCCAGATCATCTATCCCGTCCCACGTAAACTTCCTCTGACCAAAGTTAATGGAAACCTTTGCACCAGCGCTGCCCATCCCTATCATCGGCCAAATGCGAAGGCCCTCCTTGAGCGAGAAGGCCGGGCCTAGAGAACATATTAACTCAATCCCAAGCAGTGGATCCGTGGCTCCTACCCAGATACTCGGCATTCAAAGTATAGAAGGCAAAGCCCCTCTTGAAATCCAGGCCACAACCGACGACATCCCCAGTACCGTACACCGGCCCATATTTCAGCCCCTGAGAACGTCCAGGGAATTTGGCCCCATCATCAGCGTGATATCCCCACGCGTCCACCTCCCACCCCGGCATTCCATTCAGCGAAGTGTCCCTAGCGCAGAAGCCAAGACCGATCCTCTTGCCATCCCCTTCGTCCACGACCGTCATCTCATAGTAGTACATGCGGTCATGATCGACAGGAATGAAAGTGTTTGCGCGGGCGCATTGAGCGGCAGATCCCCATCGCACTTTTCCACACATCAGCTATCCATTCTCGTAACGGGAGGGTGAGGGCTTGAGTAGCTAGCTACCTGGGAGAGAAATAGTGAGGCCGTTGTCCTCAATGATCAAACCGGGTGCCTTGTCCTCGTCGGTGAAAAGTGATGGGGAAGGGATCTTATGCATTTTGTGTTTATTTTTATTCTTTCCCAATTGTTAATGGTTTTCAGACAGTTGTCGAGAAGAAGAAAAGAAAATAAAGAGCCTAAAGAGAGAAGAGTTTGATGGCTTTAAAGGAGTAGAAGCGGTGCCAAACTCTAAATGCACTTTTGAGCTTGATTTTATCATAGGCAGGTTGGTACGAGGACGGCTGAGCGGCGTGTTGGCCCAGACAGCGTATGATATGAGATATGCGCACGCGAGACAACGAGGCTAAGTACGAGATCTCGAGTTTGAATCTCGCAAGGCCTCATTGCATGCATACAAGTATGTATAGCACGGTACACTCACCTGTGACTCAACACATCGTTTTTATGTTTTGACCATTGGACTCGCTCGAGGTATCATGCTCATACGGCAATCCTCGTGAAATCCCAAATGATATTGACTCGGTACAGTACAACAATGCCATTTACGGCGCCCTAAGATATCAATCAACCTGAGCTCCGATTCCCAGTGGGCGGGTGGTACTGTACAAATACAGTACAGTACAGTGGGGTGGTCGAGAGAAAAGAAAACAATGACAATGTTACCTTAGAAACCAGAAGTCATCGATCGAGCCTCAAAATATGATATCGATTTATGTATCCTGCTTACGCCAGCCCTCATCTCAGCACGAACACGGTAATTAATTAAAATATATTCCCCCGACACTGCCTAACCAGTGATCCGAGAACGCCCCTCCAGCCTCCACCTGACAGGGCTTATTTTCATTTGTAAGGCCCGGCACGGGTATTCCAACCACCCAGAGTGCTCGCCCCGCCGTAGAACACTGAGGGCACGGCAGTCCAACCCAGGCTCATATATTCACTTATTATCACTCGCAGCTTCACCCAATGTCAATTCCGACACCACCGTCCACAACATGGCCTGCAACGTTTAGCGCACTACCTCTTCCCTTCCCCGGGAATAGGGACCATTTCAAGAACGAACCACCCCCGCCTATTCCTCGCTTCAAATAAAAACAAACACCGATTACCAGGTTCTCTCTCCCATCCACTCCCCACCCTGCTCCATTTCCGCCCTTAGAAAATCACTTTTCCTAAAAGCAAGCCTCGCAATTGGGCTGCCCGTTTTCTGAACCAGCGCCGAGACAGCCGAGTCCAGGTTTGGGCCGTGGAAAGCGGGGACAATATGAGCCAGACAACCTTAATACCACATATTTATCCTAGCTATACCGAACATGGGGCACCGATTTACCATGGGCGCCCAGATACGCACAGACAATTGGCCATGTTTTTTTCCCCCACTTCCTATCACTCGCCTTTTCCACCCGGAACTGAAGCCACTCAGCTCCCCGCATACCTGACACTCCCGCACCATCCGGAAATATTCGCACTCGCTGCGATGATGGTAGCTAGTCGGGATCACAAACAGTTGATCGTACCCATTCAACACCTAGCCCATGATTGCGGGTGCAAGGGAAGCCGGAGGAAGTTCTTGCCTTTTTCATTAGAAGTCATGGGCGTGAAAAATCCAAACCCTTCGAGTGAAATTCACCCCCATCGATTACTATTTCTTCATTTTGTAGCTGATGTTTTCTACTTATACATGAAGAGCTAAGAAGAGCGTGGAGGCACGTGAAATATGTTGGTGCTATAGTGCTGTGCCCACCTTACTCCCGTACCCAAAACCATTAAAGTTTTTGTTTTTGAGATGCGGACACTGGGTAAGAAGGGTAGCCCAGGGATGGATGTATGATATTGTGTTTAGTGATTACAATTTTTTATCTACATATCATGGATTGTCACTCGATAACTTGCTCTCTCCCACTATTCATCCCCGAAATTTACAGATTCTTGCACTCTTAGACGGCCCTAACATAGTTTGACAACTTTGAAACACAATATTGATAGGATCCGCCCGGGCAAGAGGAGTGTATCAACTGCAACATCGGTATTGGCTCCCACAGAATCTCCAATACAATTAAATCATCTCAGATACCTCCTCCGTCTTATAGTGTAACCATCAAGATACCTCCTCCCAGCAAGCTCTACCTCAAGACCCTCCCTACCCCCTACACCGACCACATATCGCTCGTATCCAATTCCGTATCCATAGCCAAATCCATACCCTGCACAGTGCCGCCCTCTTAAATCGTTGTCAACGGCATGCTGTATGCGATATCCCACGATGTGAGGATATCTTCTCTGAACACTCTCGCTCCCGACGTACCGAATCCCAGACCTTGGGATTCGATATTCTACCGCATGTTCCCATTCGTAGACCCCACGGCGCCGCTCACCCCGATAGTATCCGCTGCTTTCATCTTCAAGCTCATCACCTGACCAGTTGGCCTCTGGATCGGAGTATGAAGAGAACCGGCGAGAGGAACATGAGCCCCGTGCTTCTCTGGGGTGTTTCCTATGTGATGATACTAACTGGTGATCTCTGCCGAAGGGAGTATGATGATCATCTTCGTAGTTGTCTTGAAACACCCAGTCTGCCCCCTGATCATCCGAAGACAGATCCCGTTCTGGCGTCAAGTTTCCACGCCGGCCATAGTGGTCCAAGGTAGGGCTTGAGTGACTCCGGGCCACAGAGCTTCTTGAAAGGGGACGGTCTGAGAACGATGAGTATCTGATGTTGCTCATCTTGGCTGGTTTAATTCTCTTCCTCTTTAATGGATTCTAAGAAAATCTTAGAAAGAAGAGGCACCATTCTTGCTATTTGTAACAGTATGTCTGGTGAAAAACCCTTATCCAAAACCTGCTACGACAATACCATACAGTCCGGTGCTCAGCTTCGTTCGCAAGACCAGAAGCTAAGGGAAGTATAAATTCGCTCATGACCTAACAACCCACTATGACCGTTACCGGAAAGGTCTGCTTGTCAAATGCGGGGAGCCTCCCGATCCGCCAAACGGTTAACTGGGATCTGCAAGCTGTGTGCTGCCGCCTTTTTCTAGCAAACAGAGTGAATAAACGCTTACTCCCGTGCTCGCGCAAATCTATCATCCTCGCCCGTAGCACCCCCCGGACCTAATGTCAGAGCAAAATTAACTAATTAATTACTCCTCAAAAACCGGCACCCCCTCCTCAAAAGAATCGAGTGAGATACCATGGATTAAATGGGATGTTATCACATACCGTATTCGGGTTTGCGGGGATCAAGAAAAACCGTATACTCAATAAAACCCTGCGAAGCCGTGTTAATAACCGAAGGCTGAATCACTGAAAGAGGAAATCCGACTTCGATAGCTCACCAAGTTAAAGTTCATTGACATACTCGAATAGATTGTTAGTTCAGACTAGAAGCTTACCCACCGAGCAGGCATTTCATCGGTGCAGGGGAGGTGATGCTTTAGGCAAGAAAAGCCATAGTGATACTAAAGGTATGAAGCGAGTTTCAGAGGTAGAATAGACGATGAAGACCCAACTCTCCGCCGGGAGTTGTGGCAATGCCCCCTGTTGATGACATATGAACAATGATGGTTACGCGTGTGTACAAAGCTATGATATCAAAGGTAGCAGTCACGAATGCCCAGTCCTCTCATCGACCGCCATTTCTCGCTCTCATGCGGGTATGATAGCCTACAAGAGAGGAGGAAGGCTCAACAAAACCCATCAATCTTCAACCATCTCCCCAAACAAACAATATTATCTGGCAAGCTAATGTGTGGCTACCGATACATCTTCCGAATAACAGTTTTATGGCATACATTAAGTGGATTAATAGTTTGTAAATAATTGGAGGGAAAATCATGTGCTTACATGAAAGCCCTCCAGTACACTAGTCTTCGTCATGTACTCGAGTGCCGACCATGCCTCCCCTCGCTGCGAGGATATGCGACCTAACACCAACCTCCTGAACCGTAAATCTATTAACCTCACCAAAAATGGGATCCATGACTCGGCGATCAATGCTGTCAACACAGAAGTGCCCCTCGTGCAATACAAGATTTCCCGGCGTGAATTACCAAGAAAAGACTTCAAATCGATCATTTCCTGAGCCAGACTAACCCAAGACTTCACCTTCCCTTGGGCTAATCCAAAGGACTTATGGCCACCAGGCGAGATGAGCGGAACGCCAAAAGGCGACCCAACCGATAACCAAAGGGATCGACAGATACCACAGGAGCTATCTTCCTGACACCACGGTGTCCGAACACAGCCAGAGCAACTAGTAAGCGAAACCGTACTCCTCTTCTGAGATAAGAGAACACTCCCAAATCCAGTACGAAGGAAGATTGTCCGAACACGGGTTTCAACACACTGATCCCCGAGGAACCGAGTGACTATTGATGATACGCAGTTGGTTTTCCTCATCTACCCGATATCAAACCACATTTTGACGATCCCAGATAGATCGGTTTGGCCCCGAGAGCAGGCAGGCGCCTAAACAACCTCGAAAGCATAAATCGGGACTCAGTTTCCCTGAGCACTGGGAGGGTATTCACTTCGCGAACGTGTGCTCCTCAAACCCAAACAACTATCCCCGTGAGCCCCTCCTTTGCGCCGAGAGGATGCCCAGCAAGTCCAACAATCACATTACTTCCAACACGACAGTTCCCCGACCGCAAAGGGGGTCCACAAGCAAAACACCACCCACCCTGCGCCAAGGACCGGTGGGAAAGAGGTCAGTCTATTTGCCAACAGGTAAGCCTCGTGAACAGCGTCCAGCCTTGCTTCCCCACAGAGGGGGCGTTTCCTGATATTATAAACCTTGAGCCCGGACAGATTTCGAACGCCAGCGGCTACGGTCAAGCATCGATGCTGTCCGTTGCCAACTGTCTCGATCATCCGTGCGTTATTCTTCCAGATCCAGTTGACCAACGACCGCGAGTCCAATGAACAGGTGATAGGCTGAGAAGCGATGGGGTTAACTGAAGAAGCTCAAGAAGCAACAACAGAAGCAAACACGTTTCCGATCAAGTACAAGAGGTAAAAAAAGTAGAAGTTCGGATAGATTTAGCGACAAAGTGTATCGACTCTTCAAATAAGTGTCGTGTCATTTTACTTCATATTGTGCTCGTACGCACGATGGATTTGCGCATGTGCGATTAGTGGGTCAAAAGGCCAAACAAACCAGCATCGAAAACGTCGCGAATGCGCAAACCTAACGAGAAGCAGCGACCCCCAGATTATCTGCCTCAATAATACGAGGAGTCAGTTGTTGAACCTAGAC